AAAAAAGACAGATATAAATTCGACAAAAAAGACGTTAATTTATTTTACGAACTTTGTTGAAAAGTAATTATCTTTTTATGGTAATGATCCGATAAGAAAATGAATGAAGAAATCAGCGAAACTTGAACTTAATTTGTGTCTTTTTGAAGTTCATGAGAATCTTTTGTTGTGTTTAGTCCAATAGGTAACTGACTAAATTTTTATGACCCGATAAAGAATCGTGTGGATTTTTAATTCACATGCTCAAATTTGATAGCGCCAAAAGCGAAAATACACATCACAAAAGTGTGATAAAAACTAAATACTCACCAAATTTCACCCACGTATGTCTACATCATGGATCCATGGATTTAAAAAAAAATGGATACAAAAATATGAAGAAGAATGGTCTTGTTATCAAGTAAGATTATTTAAGTTTATTACCATAATCGGTGCTTCCATAAGCCCAATGCCGAATCCCTTTTTTGGAAGAAGGATAGAGAAAACAAATGATTTCAGAAAAAATAGAATATGGAAAATGAATTGGGTTAATCACAAAGAAAAGAATGGAAATAATGGAAATTAATCAATATAGAATGGAACGTAATTGAAGTAATGGAAACATATAATGAAAATCAAATATGTATAGTTTAAGAGCAAAGAAATCGTCACACACTTGTAACAACATTGCTTTAATTTGAGAATTGGTAGTAGTGTTGAGAATCGCGTTCTGTTGTGAAAGAACAGAACTACTACTACTAGCAAATCTCAATTTTTGTCAGCAAAGTGTTTGCGAACGCAGCTTCGTTCAATTCATTTGCAAATTGTTTTTAATTTATGTGTGTATATGTGTGATCAAACCCTCACTAGTTTCTTACATACTAAATAGATTTTGAAAATGTGATTTTTTGAAATGGATATAATGGATGCGAAGGGCAATCGCACTTTGAACACTGCAGTTGTGCTGCTCTCCGACATTTATAAGTTCAACCTTATGTAAAGACATTGTTTTCCTCTTCTTCTTCATTTGCAAGAAGCATGTGCGTTATAGCAGCTTAACTTTGAGATACCAGGTGGCAGCACATCTGCGTGTTCGAAACCCAATACATTGCTTTAAATGGAGTGCGAGCAGAGCGTGAATGGATGTAATGGAAAAATAATCGAAAGAATGGATAGCATTCTTCAATAATGGAATAGTAATTTTTAAAGTAAGTATACCAGCAACGAATTGGCCACAAAAATCTCTGCCACACTTCCTGCGTTGTACATCATGAACCTACCAAATTTTGATTTTGAAAAACAAATTTAGTTATTGCGAAAGTTATTTAGTCAAACCTTGAAAAAATCTCCAGTTTTTTTTTTCATGGTATTGAGTTGTAAACAAAGGTTCTGACATAGGCTTGCCAAGGGCAAGGGTAATCGGCGAAAAAAATTCGGGGGTACATTCACATTTCAGCAAAAAACCTACCAAAAAGACCTTTCCGAGGGTAAGCAAATAGTATGAAATCGGCGCTCGAGGTGGGAGTAATACGTGTCCTGCATGTCCTTGTCAGAACCTATGGTTGTAAATTATTGATGAAAAAAACTCACCATGCAATTGCATACGGAATCGTAACGATCATCATTGCTCGCTTACGCCCTAGTGAATCTGAAAATAATAATGAAAATTGACCGAGATTGGGATTATGTAAATCATTTTGGATTCAAATTATGTAGATTACCAGTTATAAATGCTGATAAAATTGATCCAATCGGTTCGAAAATGAAAACAACCCCACCTAAAAATAGTTTAAAAAAATCGCTTTTTAACGAAAGAAAATCCCGAAATCGACTGGTGGTTGAGATCGGATTTATTCTTCCGTTTGCATCTGTCTAACTGGTCGATTTGTATTTACCCAAATATGATGCTTGTGTGTCCGTAATTGAAAGTGTTTCGTTTGCATTGTGCTCTTTAGATTCATGTCGCAATGCCGGTAAGAGTATAGTAGAGAATGAAAAGCAACAACCAAATTCAAAAACAAGCATCACTTTCACCGTTGTCGCGAGAATCTATTGGAAAATTTTTATTAAAATTAAATCAAAATATGTTTGTTTTCAATAGACTTTTGATAAGATTTAATTGGTTTGTTTTTTCATCACTTCCGAAAGGTTAAAAAACACCATTGACCTCTTACTTCCGAAATCCATTGAAAAAAAGAAAGACTAAACAAGATTTCTTTCATCATTTTATGACAGAAAACATGCAACAAGTCAACAAAACGTTTTGTGTGAGATCATTCTTGATTTTGAATCATGCATGACATCACGGAACGAATACATGCATCATGCAATCTTTAATCCTTTGCATGTTTATCTATCGCAGTACATTTCCACTACAACTGATCGAACAATAAAAAATAGGCCACTTTCACTTTAAAAACACAACACAAACTTTGTTGAGGAAAGCAATAAAATTCAGCCTTTTTACGACGTTTCTTTGAAAATTCTTTTAAAAGTGTGCAAACGCTTATTCATACCTGTGCGAGAATGCGTCTCGTTCGATATATGTCATCTTGTGGTTGTTTCAAACCCGTTTCAAATGTCATTGTTGCAAACAGACCGAAGAATAATTTACTCACGGCACTTGATATTTAAAAAAAAAATTACTCTTCAAACTTCTTGTAATTAGGCGTTAATTCATAAATGCGAGAACGATCTAAAATTGCGGGTGTAAACGTAAAAACGATCTATTTGCGAAGAAAATGAGTTTCAATTCGAAGTATCAACACATCTGTTGTCCACAGCTGAAGCGTATACACTGACAATGTTGGTAATCAATTTGCATCATATACGATTGACTTGAGCGCGGCATTCACAATTTAACGATAACCCAAAAGACTTTTTTTACGCTTATCACACCCAAATGAACCGATGACAGACATTATTATTTAATTTATATTTGTGTAGTCTAACGCTCATTTATAGACGGAAACAAACAAAAAAAAATCCTACGTTCATTCACCTGCCAAAAATTCATAAAAAAAAACAATTTATTTACTTTACTGTTTTTTTTAAACAAATATTATAAAAAATAAAATCACAAAAAGTGTTGTTGTTTTATTCTAAATGATCCATTCACATCGATAAGGGCCACATTCAACGAGATAGAAATAAAATCATAAATTTGGAAACTATGGACGTTATCACAATTTTTACACACTTCTTTGAGGAAATGTTTCGAGTCAATTCAGCACATTGTAATTGAATTTTCTAATTGATTTAGACGGTCTTTGGTAATTGATTGTTTTTCAAGTAGAACATGATAAGAATGTGTCAATTATAAACACGAGCATCGTGATCATTATTTGAATGGAAAATATCCACTGTCAATCACAATGTATTGAACTAGTTGCGCTTTGCTTTAATTGAATTATTATTAATTATTAATTCGTAGAATTCTGATTGTTTTCTTTCAATAAACCAGATAATTTACATATTGAATGATGCACAAAAAAAATTCACGTCATTCCATTTGTTGTCGTATGTTGATTTTTTTCCTCTCACTACTCCGTCATTGTGCAAAGTTTTTTTTTCTTCTTTTCATTCACGATAGTCGAAGATGTTGTTCTGGTTACGATTGGGATGTATTTTCAAATGCAATCACAATAGGTTCTGGACAAGAGGCATATCAGTTCTGGAGAGGGAGAGAGACAGTTGAAGTGCAAAAGATCTCTTTGATTTTGTTTTGTCCGTTTTCAGAGTCGCAAAAAAGGTCATAAACAGTCATCGCATCAAAATAAAACACCAATGTTTTTGTGACGAATGATTCAAGCTTTTTTCTCTAAAAAAATGAAATTACACTCTCTTTGTCGATGTCTAAACGTCAAAATTGAGCAAGAAAATACACAAATACCTCGAAATACTCTATTTGTACACTTCGAAAAACGAACAATTGTCTACATTTAAAAATACAATTTTAAAGCGCATTTAAGCATCTTTAACGAAACTCCGATTATCACAGCCGTTTTGTGTATTTTCGAGCCCATTCTCCACTCCAATTTCCGAGTTTCGAGGTAAACATGCAATTTTTGCAATTTTTCGATCGGTTAATTTTTTTGAATTGTCGCAAAAATGAAATTCAATGTCGTCGAGCGTTCGATTTTCAGTTTCTGGCATAATTTTGTACATCAATACGACTCCGAATGCGGCAATAACGCAATAAAGCAGCGATATTCCTTGTATTGACAATGATATTTCCAGATCATAATATGTTTTTGTGCTTATAAAAGTGATCAAATAATCAAGCGTTGCTGACAAACCGGCTGCTGCTTCTCGAGCTCTAAAAAAAGGAATTGTCAGTTTTTAGTAGAGAAAATTAAGAAATTAAAATAAATGCAATAAAGATTGAATAACTTACTTGAAAGGATAAACTTCGGATAACATTTGCCATGGAAGCGAATTCACGCCGCAGTAACTGCAGAAAAAAATGCAAAAAAATGGAATGTATCGGAAATTTGAATCCGCTTGTAAAACGACTTCTTCATTATGAAACGAATTATAGCCGCTTGGGAAAAATACAAAGCCATATATTGAGACGGTTGCCGAACATAAAAATACAATGATCAACATTGGCATGTATAATTTTCGCTTGCCTAAAAATTGAATCACCATCAAAACGAATCCAATTTTTGAATTTACGCAAAACTCACCGGTGAATCGAATCAAACACAAAAATGCAATATTCGCTAGGTTGTTCACAAAGCCTTGCATAGCTGCTGCTTGATCTGCAATAGAATTTCCAATAGTATTCCAACTTCGTCTCATTTAAATTGAAGTGTGCTTTGAAGATTTGCTGCATGAATGGGGACATACCAGTTATACCGGTGAATTCCGCGATGAAAAACAACGACATCACTTTAAATTTTAAAATCATTTATAAATGTTCATTTGATCTTTTTTTATTGATTAAAAATTTAAATTACCAATGAAGAATGGCTTGAGGGTTTTTTTACGCTTTAATTCCTTCAATTTGTCCATAAATGTCGGATGATGTGTACATTTTTGATCCAATTTGATGCACGCACTACACGACTTTGATTGTTCACTATAACGCTGTAGTTCAAGTAGCTCTTGATGCACCGTTTCTTTTTGGACCCAGCCACGGAGCCAGGCGAGCGAAGATTCGGCGTCAGCTGTTCGATTCTTTGGAGCCAGGCTGGACTTTCGGGAATCTTATAATTACATATTAAGATGCATTTTAGTTCAAAAATCTTCTTTTTTGGTTCGAAAATACTCACGAAACATAGCGCAATAATGGTTAAAATTGGTACATACAAACTAATGCAACTAATCGCCAAGGCTTGCAAAGTATGATGTTTTAAGTTAGTTCTCATTCGAGACATGGTTTGAATAAAACGTAAGAATCTTTGTCAATTTAAACAACCGCGTAACGCCCAAAAATAACGATGCAACCGTTTGTAACACAAATACAAACAAAAAAACAATTGAAAATGGTAACGAGTGGTGAGTAAGGCAAAGTAGGAATGAGTGGATCACAATTTGTCGAAGATTAACTTTTTCACAAAATGATTTCTTTTGCATAATAAAATGAATTCGAAATTCAATTGAATTAGTTTTGATTTCAATTGGGTTTGAAGGTATTCGAGCTAAATACTACCCAAATCTCACCAACATATGTTATTATCGGACTTTCCATTAGGCCTAGTAAAAGAAATCAATATGTTTTCAAATGTTGAAAAATATTCATGATTGAAACGATAACTGAGAATTCAAATTGAATCGAAAGAAAAGAACGAATCAACTCCAAGTCATTAAACACGTTCCGATAAAAATTTCAATCACACTGCTTGAATTGTACATCAACAGCCATGCGATCGCGATTGGAATATTCACAAGAATCATAGACCGCTTCCGACCTAATGGGTCTGTTAATTGAAAAAAGTCGGAAAAAATCGTATTTTTCTCAAAAAGTGCCGCTTTTGGCTCTTATGAGTCACTTTTGCTATTCAACTATGGAATTTCAAAACTCACCCGATAAAAAGGCAGATAAAATTGATCCAATCGGTTCACAAATAAAAGCAATACTACCTAATGAAAACATGCATTTTGTGTGTCTTTTTTCAAGGCAGCTATAACAATCGCAGGAAATGCAGCGCACAATCCTATTGATTGGAGCATTACAAAAACGGAAAAAACATTTTTTAAACGAAGAGTTGAAAACAAACGTTGTAAAAAATGATTATCAATATCAAATAACAGTAGATTTTTAACAGTTGTTGCTGTTAACTAAATAAGAATAGGAAACAAATAAAAAAAAATTGAATAATAATAAAATCTCATATGGCAAAATATGTTTTCGTTTGATTTTTGCACTTTTAAATCACTATAAGCACGAGAACGATTGGAATACATTATATTTCCTTTTTTTCATCTTTCTTTTTTATTCCACTGATATAATTCTCGCACACGGTTCAAAGCAGGAAAAAATTCCACCGATGTACTCAAATGATTTGTAACGATTGACGTTTTTACAATGCTGTCTTTTTGCTCCGTAATTCGGATAAACATTTCATACTTATATTTTGCAATATTTTTTTTGTTTTTCATACAATCAGCAGGTATTTCGTTTAATCAGCGCATTATCAGCAAGCAGTTATGCATTTTTTATAGGCAGGTTTCATCAAGCTTTATTGTAAAATAATGGGGTTTTGTTTAAAAGCGGAACAAGTGAAACAGATAAATAACAAAACACTCGTTCTCAACGAACGAAATAGATTGGATTATGTGTGTGCAGCCATAACGAACGTATAACAGAATAAGTAACGTATTTTTTTGCTGATTCGTTGCTCACAGACTTGCAGTTGCCTGTATTGGTTCGTACTTTTTTATATTATTGAACTGACTGTGGTCTGTGCAAAAATGTAAATGTGGTTGTAAATTCATTTTATGAATTTATGTTCTCTATTCAAACGATCATAAAAAGGTCAAGTTATTGTTGATTGAGTGATTTTGGACAAAGGTTATTTACAGTGATGGTTTCTCGTTAGCCAGCATTGTCTTAGCCTTGGCTTAGCCAGCTATCTGTGTGACTATGTACGATTCTCACTGACATTTATGAGTGACATACAACTCAGTGTATACATTTGTAGCAAATTAGCCAGCTAATGTGCCCATCACTGGTTATTTATTTGATAGAATTTATTATCACGTCTTATCTCCGGCTGGCTCCAGTATTTACAAAATTAAATGTGTGTTCGTTGACTCTTTTTCTAAATTATTATCAATATTTTTTATTAAAACATTTGACAGTTCACTGTCCAAAATGGACATGTGATAATTGATATAAAAATTGTGATTGCTTTTCGTTAACGCTTAGGCGGCGGATTAATCAATTTATGTGTCAGCATCGATCAATTAAAACATTCTTGACCCATACGGGTCATTTAATTCAAAACGGTATTTGTACCCATAGTCTGGCGACGAAATTTCGATTAAACGATTTTCAATCTAAAATCACAGATTGCATCCATATGATGAAACCGTGAACAATAGTATTCTCTAATACCAGCTGGACAACGAACTTGAACAAATAAAAAAAAATCGTTATCTGAATATTCACGCGATCATTGATAAATATAACAAAAGAATTATGTAACTACGACAAATATGCAAACAACGCACACTCACAACCATTGGTGCACGAATATTTGTTTAATATTGATTAAAGAAGCAAATAGTGCATAGTATTTATTACGCATACGATGCAAGTTTTACGCAAAAAGCAATGAAACATTTTTTTGAAGCATGTGACGGCGTCAGCAAGTCTACTTAAAGCGCAGTTTTATATGTATGCCAATTGGCTCGTAAGGCAGTCTGTACATGACGAATATGTGTGTGATAGCGATAATCGATTGATTGTTCAGATTGATGTTACATGCCTTGAACTTTGAAATTTGTTTCTCTGGATTTTTTTAAATTGTTTTTAGTAGTAGTAGTACTTGATGTGAAAGCGATGTGCAACAGGTTGAACAAGCAATTTCTAAAAGAGAAAGATTCAAATACCATTGACATATTTGTAATAATTTAAAAGAATTTTCAATCAAAAATATGGCTCATAACCGAAAATTTTGCAGTGATGGTTTTGCGTTAGCCAGCGTTGTCTTAGCCTCGGTGTATACCAACATTTGGTGTACACCAATCGTTAGCCAGCTAACTGTCTACACTGTCTGTGTGACTGTGTATGATAGTATGCGTGTGAAAACGTCCAATTCTCCTGACGTGTGTTAGTGCTGGCTTACGCATTCGTTAGCCGGTGTACACAGTGATGGCAAATTAGCCAGCTAATGTGCTCATCACTGAAATTTTGTATGGGAGGTATCCTTAATATGCATTGAAATTTCTTTAAACTCTCAGAATGTAATTTTCTTGTGGAAATAACAACCTGTGTAAAGTTTCATGTCATTACGCTACCACAAGGCATGGCTCCTATACAAAAATATTTTTTTTTTGTAAATTTTTGTATGAAATCCTGTGAAAAATTGATTGCATCTTAAAACTAACGTCATATTCGACCCGAATCAGAAAAGAATGCTTTTGGGTGTTAAGCTTGTAAATCTTAGATATCTCTCGTTAGATACAGATTTTTGTATCCAGATCCAGATAGATTAGATTTATTATACCTTTTTTTATTGATCTAAGATCAGATTTAGATTTGATCTATCTAGAAATCTATCTAAAAAATCTCAAGATTTTTAATCTACTCGAAACACTGGTAATAAATACCGGCAGCAATACCGAAAAAATACCACTGGATGTTCTTCTGATAAATTAAATTTCCATATAGTTCTCTCTTTCTGCATTTTACCATTTATTTGATATGTGTATCATTCAACACTTCGTGCATCGGACTATTAAGTCGAGTATCATAATGAAACATAATTGTTTTTTAGATATTTTCGTTCGAAAATTGCTCGTTTGAAGTCACTCATACACTCATCTTTCTTTTCTCTACTAGAAAATAATTCGGGCAATGTTACATTGTCGAATTCCAAAAGATGATAAGAAAAAACCCAATTTAGTGATATTTCGTTGAAAACACTGGCTTATCTATTTAACTTGCTTAACTACTGATAACATGTATAACTTTGATAACCAACGTGAGAAACAGCAACTGTCGAATCAATTTAAAGTTCAGTTTATTTTTGTCTGAATAAATAGAAAGGTGAATAAGTTGATGTATCACAGCGGTTGGTATTTCAAAATTCTAAATTTCTAATTGTGGTTGAACATTCCAAATTTGACCAGAGAAAAATACAAATCAAAAATCAAAGTTTGCATATAATTGGTAAAGATGAAGGTGCAAATAGTGTTGGTGTTGGTGTTGGCAATTTCGACGTCAAATTCTTTGAGAATTCTTGGCATTTTTCCACATCCGGGTGAAAGTCATTTTCGGTTTTTTCATCCAATTTTACGCGCACTTGCTGAAGCCGGCCATGAAGTTACAGTTTTAAGCCATTTTCCAGACAACGATGCACCTGAAAACTACAAAGATTTATTATTGACAAACACGACTTTACTTACTAATGCGGTTGATTTAAAGGTAATTAAAATCATAATCAATAATGAAAACGTGCATTTGTTGTCAAGACCAAAAAAAATTCTGAGCAAAAGTTAATATGCACGCAAGTAGATGGCTCTAAGAAGAGACACATTGCGAATGGTTTACATTAATGCCATCTGTTGGCTTGGAGAGATGGGAGAGATTGTGACATTTTTGACGTAATGTATTTTACGTATTCATGTTTTTGGCAAGTCATTTGTCAATTTGGAACGTCCTGTTTCAATATCAATCAAATGTCATAAATCTAAATTGACAAATGACTTGTCAAAAACATGAATACGTAAAATACATTACGTAAATTTGGTTGGAGACGTTGGAGAAAAATAATATTTCATCATTTTCATCATAAAAAAAAAATATAGTTTTGTTCAAAAATTCAAATAAAATCAAATTTAAAAAATATATTATTATTATAAAGGAAAAATATATTACTTAAAATAAAAATAAATAATAAATATGTGCATTTGTGAAGGATGTCAGGTATGATGGCGCTGATTAGCGAGACTCGCATAAAAAAGTCTCCAATCTCATATATGTGTCATCCACGTGTATGCACGATTTGTTTTTTGGTTTTTTTTCGGTTCGAAAAAACCGAATCTGATATAAATTTTGCGATACAAATAACTTGATTTTTGCATGGAAGCCATCTGTATGATATCGAATGAGATACTTCAATGAAAAACTTTTTTGGTCCCGTCTAATGGCGTCGTTTAAAAAAGTAAAATATAAAACGTTTTGAACATTAACTGCCTTTACTAAATGCGATGATCATATGTGTAAAATTTCATCTCCAAATTTTAAACTTATTACATTTTCAGATGTTTGAAAATCGTTCGTGGTCCCAACATTTCATGGATTTCTTTAATTTGCAACAACTTGGAATTGATGCTTGTGAAGTTGCATTCAATTCAACTGCTGTGCAGAATATTTTGAAATCGAATCAAGTGTTCGACGTTGTTTTATTGGAACAGTTCAATAATGATTGCATGATGGCTGTTGCCTGGAAATTGAAAGCACCTGTTATTGGCCTAAGTAGTTGTGTACTTATGCCATGGCATTATGATCGCTTGGGGAATCCATCAACTCCATCATATATTCCTACGATCTTCATGGGTTATACAGACAAAATGAATTTTATTAAACGCCTCAGCAACTGGATTACCGTCAATGTATTGAAACTTATGTATCAGTAGGTATTTTATTTGGTTTTTCTACAAAAATAAATGAATAAAAAAGTTGCTCTGGTTAATTGAACTCTTACTGTATCGCGCTGTATCGTTCACATATAAGTGACATTTTTTGAACTTTTTCATTTATTCAGAGCATGCATGCTTGGCGTCGCTCCTAGCTATATGTTAGTGTGATTATTATCGTTTGTATAATATAAATTAGGAGCGCAGGAGCGTCTCTTGACAAGTATACTTCTGAGCTTGTGAAGCAGTGCGATTCTATGCTCTGTTTATTTCTGGACAATAGACGATAATTTTTCATACTATTCTCATTTTACAAAACTATTCCGCCCTTATAGCTACATCACGACGCCAGCAACAGATGAAATAATTCAGAAATACATGAAAAATGACAATGTTCCGTCCGTCACAGAGCTTGTTAAGGAGACCAGTTTGATGTTTGTAAACAGTCATTATTCGTACACTGGCTCAACGCCGAACGCACCAACCGTCATTGAATTGGGTGGCATTCATATCAAAGAAGAAAAGCCTCTAGATACAGAATTGAAAACTTTCTTAGACTCGGCCAAAGATGGTGTGATCTACGTAAGCTGGGGTTCTATGATACGTGGATCAACGTTACCAGACGCAAAACGAAAGAGTCTCTTGAAAGCTTTCGCTTCTTTCAAACAAAAGTTTCTATGGAAATTCGAAAATGACACCATTCAAGATCAACCAGAAAATGTATTCATTCGAAAATGGTTGCCCCAAAGAGATATTCTATGTAAGCAAACTCTGTATATTATTATTCATATCATTCATATATTTTAAAAGAAAAAATATTTAAAAATTGATCAAAAATGTGCATCATTTTAGGTCATCCAAATGTGCGCGTTTTTCTGAGGTACAATAATTTTCATTTCAACACAAATTCTATATGAAAAGAACTTAACAATTGTATTTTATAGCCATGGTGGATTGATGGGAAGTAGCGAATCAGTTTATTGTGGTGTTCCAATGGTTTTGACTCCAATGTACGGCGATCAATTTCGAAATGCAGCCGCAGCAAAAGCACGTGGTATCGGTTTCATCGTTCCGTATGAAGATATAACAGAATCAACTATCAAAATCGCAATCTCTAATGCATTATCATTGGAAACTTTGCAAAATGCAAAAAAAGTATCTTATTCATATCGAAATCGACCCAAGAATCCAGTTGAAACGGCCGTTTGGTGGGTAGAATATGTATCGGCGACAAATGGTGCTCCTTTGCTGAAATCACATTCAACCAATTTACCTGCGTTTATCTATTATTCATTTGATATCTACCTTACAATTGCAACTATTTTGATTGCCATTATTGGTTTTATTATCTATTTAGTACGCAAATTATGCAGAAAAACAAATAAATCCAAAACTGATTAGCAATATTCGAGGAAGAGATAATTACTGAAGTAGTTGTTCGCATTAGTTGAAGTGTCGCTTCGTCATATTTCCATTCTCGAAATTAAAAAATAGAATACCGGAAGCAATTTTTAAAAAATTCATTCAGAATTTTACAACAATTTTACAAAGTTATTTTTCTCCTGACGTAAATTGTTACAAAACAGAAGCTGTTTTTTAAATTATCATTTCTTTTGTTGATGTAAAGTAAATGTTCAATAAACATCAAAATAACATAAAAAAATGTCTTGGAATTATGAATATGCATATGCTAGAAGAATTTTTTCTTTTTCTTCACATTTGAGTACATATAAATATCGTGTAAAATCGCACTAAAATTCAGTAATTGGTATATTGTTGCAGTGGATCATTATTTATTTTACCGGTTTGTTTCAAAAATAGTTTATTATATATTTTCAACTTCATAACAAACACATTTCGCATTGAATAGATTAAAATATTCATCGAATTACATTTCAATAAAGAAAAAAAAATCGAACTCAATCGCGTTGGAATTTATTTTTTTAAGCACTAAAATGATGTCAAGAGTAACTTGTTGTGTACTTTTGGTGTTTGGCTGTGAATTGTTGGGTTTAAATGCCGGTGATACCTCTACTTCGAGTGAGACTTTGAATATCGCTGTTATTGGAGCCGGCGCGGCTGGACTTGCTAGCGCAAAGAATATTCTCCAACAACGTCACAAAGTCGTGATCTACGATAAAAGTGATAGGTTTGGGGGAACATGGAAGTACATGGATAAAATCGGAAAAGATAAATACGGCGTTGATATTCATTCGGCGATGTACTATATTACACACTTAGGTATTCAAAATTAGTTTTAACTATCTTATAAAGATCGTGAACAATTCACACTTAACGTACTGACTTTGGTTTCAAACAGAACAAATACGCCGTATCAAACCATGGAATTTCCCGAAATCGAATTTCCGAGAAATACAAGGTCATATCCATCACATACAGACGTATGGAGATATTTAGACTCTTATGCCAGAAAATTTAATATAACGGAACACATGAAATTGGAACATTTAGTGGAGAAAGTTGTTTCAATTGGAGATGGCAAATGGAGCATAACAGTCAGAGATCTACCCAAAAATCAAACCGAAACCAATATTTTTGATGCGGTTTTTGTATGCAGTAGTTCTTATTCGTCTCCATATTATGCATATATTCGTGGTGAAAAAGAATTCAATGGGAAAATAATGCATAGTCACGATTACCGTAAACCACAATTGTATAAAGGTAGGTTCGATCATCTTGAAAAATATCTGTTAATGTTTAATTCGCTATCCTGTTGAAGGTGAAAACATTCTTGTTATTGGAACGGGACCGAGGTAAGATAAAATTAATAATAGTTTTACGATTATTTTACTCATTTATTTGTAATTATATCAGTGAAACCGATATCGCAAATGAACTTCACGAAGTTGGCAACAAAATAACACAAAGCTCCCAAAAGTCCGTGCCGGAAGTTTCATATTTTAAACAATTAATGGGTAAGATCTTCATTGACTCGTTCGTACGAATTCATAAAATGTTCATCAATGTTTAGGCAAGGCACGTAAAATGTGTGCGGCAGGCTTCCATCCTATCGTCATCAAGGGTGAAGTAGACTACATCAAAGCGCCTAATAAAATTGTATTTAAAGATAAATCACATCAAAAATTTGATAGAATAATTTATGCAACAGGTAATTGAGAACACACATAGGTGACATGAAATATGACCGCCGGGCTGCTCCTTATCTTGGAAGAAAATTCGCTTCGAAAAAACCCCAAGCGTCCAAAATACCGGCTGGTGTCTATCTAATCTAACAAAAGTTTCGTCAACTTCGAACAGTTCCGTTTCACTACCGCCACCGCCACCGCCACCATTACCACATCGATCAAAACCAAAACGAGCGCTCAGAAAATTACATGAAGAGTTTTGTGCTGAACCAGCGGCCAAGCTATGTTGATATATGAATTTTGTATTCCATTCATAAGATTTTGCTTCTGTCCATGGATTATTGAATGTGAAGGGCCAAAATTGTTGAAATTCCAAGGTTCATCCTCATGGAACAATGTGTCGCGAATGTTAATTGCGTAGACCGGCTGTTTATTGGAGGCACGGCATTTCTTTTGGCTGCGTTTTTGAAGATCTATCCAAGCGCCATCTTCGATTGTAGCTGAGCCTCTGGGGATTCCGATAAATTTGGATTCTAAGATGAAATCGTGCACGTTTTTCGGGTACACGTTCACAAAAGACATTTCAAATACACAAGCATCATTCGTTCCGATTTTCTCAACGTATTGGCGATGCGCCGATGGAATTTCATAAAAAATACCCAAACTCTTTGTCTTCACTTCATATTCAGGAACGACCTTTACAATGGATACACAATGGAAAATAATAATAAATGAACACAATACAAAAATTTGCAAGAATCTAATTTACGACGGAATTTTGCACGTGCGACCGAGTTTTGCACTTGCGACCGTACTTCGAAATCACACTCATCGCACATAAAGTACATGTTTGATGATGTTTTTTATTCAATTTTTCAATTTTACTTACCTTGACAATGCCAATTTCATTGTTTTCGTCACTTTCAAGCAAATTTTGTATAAAATTTCCCACATTTTCATCTTTCATGAAGCGAACAGTTCGATGTGCGTACATTTCGGCACATTCAACACATTACTTAACTTGACTCTTTTACAAAAATTATTAATAAATTTCAATATTATTATTATGATCGATGCAATTATCAATTTATATTATTTTACTATTTTATATTTTCTAAACGTTTGTTGACACAATTGTTTCGATTGCAGCGAAATGTCATCGGCAAGATTAATTTGCGTTCTGGACACATTATGTAAAGGAGTTGGTGATTTTCCTTCATATGAAGTGAGTCTACTGTCAAACGTCAATTTATTATCGAACCCTTCTATGAAATGTACAGTGGCGCCACTTTTTGGTACTAAGTAATTCCATAGAAAGGTTCGATAAAATATTGACATTTGACAGCAGACTCACTTTTTCACGAACTTCTTTGGCGCTGCAATGCAATTTATTGTCAGGCCGATGAAAAAAAAATAACTCTATTAAGTGTTTATGTTTAGTTTCATGCGATTTCTGTGAGAGCATATAAGAATGTACTCTAAAATGTACGATTTACCGACTAGCCAAACCACTGTAGTTTAACCACATAGTTCATACGTGTCCATAGCTATGTGGATAGCTATGTGGCGTCGAAATTTATCGAAAACATTCGATTCGTTGTGTTTATGTTTAGTGTCATTAACACAACGGAAAAAGCCATTAGGCATAACTTCATTTTTATGTTTTATAGACCAATGCGTGAAATAAGAGCTCTTTGCCGCAAATGTTTGTTGACATTTTTCAGAAGCACACTTCACTCTCTGAACACTTTTTGCATGTAATTTTTCATGCCTTTTTAAATTAAACAAATTAGCTTTTATTTTTTCTCCACAATAGCAACACAAAAAAAACATTTGGTTTTATACAATTAAAAATATAATCAACAAGTTTTTATTTACACTGATTATTTTTAGCACGCTTAGCTGTCAAAGCAATGTTATGGATACATGACACATATATAACATATCTGACCGCCAGGTGGCGATTTGTAGCTAAAGGGACAGATATATGCTTTAGTCGTACCGGGTGAAAACAGGCACGTTTTGCATTGAAATTCATCACAGGAGCGAAAAAATTACCAACAACAAATCAGATGTTACTTGATCTAAGAAATGAAAATGCCGTTAATATAAGGGACGGTAATAAAGAAAAACCCCATGTGTTGGCACTTCGTCACAAGGAATATTACGCACAGCTTGCAACAGCGGCAGAAATTGAAAATATACCAGATCTTATAGCAGACTTATTCACAGACGCAATTAAAAGCCAAAAGGAGCCAGGTTTTCGTAACTACAAATACATCATTGACGGCATGCATTTCAGAAAAGAAATAGAGACATTAAAATGATTGGTGGAACGAAAAACTATCATCTCAAAGAAATGCCCAAAAAGCTGAACCTCTGGTTACGTGTAATAAGGCAAAATATGTTCTTTCTCAAGGCCATTATTTTGTATATTCGTTTGTTATAATTTAAATTGATTGAAAATAAGCTACGCGAATATAAAACATTACTTGTCGTTAGTTACAAACAAATACAGTGCCGTCAGCGAGTTTGAGACCAAGCAAAAATATTTCTTCAAAAAATTATCGATTTGAATGAAAAATATTTGCTTGGTCCCAAACTTTCTGACGGCACTGTATTACAAAGCAAATATCAGGTTACACGTGTTTTTTAAATAAAAAGAAAAAAAAACATTTTTCAAGCTCTTGTTGTTTCAAACTTATTCAAGTTTGAATAAGTCAAAAGATGCTTCATTTGAACATGTGGATTGCCATGAATATTCATTCACAAAAAATATTGTAATTAAACAAATATAAACAGTAAGCACATTGAATCAGCGATTAAACCCCAAACCAAGACAATTTTTTCCTCTCAACAAAACTGAGCAAGTCGAACGACATGAAAATAGTAAGATAGAACTCGCAAGTGAATCGCAATTCTTTGCATATAGTGAAAACGGCATTCAAACTATTTTTTTACCCTTTCCCGCTTTCTCTATTTTGCTCAAAATCATTTTGAAATTAAAATATCGTACCGGTTTCGAACGCTGGTGTTTATTATATCGCCGAATGGAATTTTTTAAGGAGAAATTATGAATGACGTGTTTCTTACACGTGCTTATTTTTTCAGTATTTTTTTTTTGGTAAAGTGACACACCAAATAGTGTTAAGTAAACAATGAATATTGGTTTTTGTCTCAGAAAATAGTAGAAAATATGATGATATTCGATTGTTTTCTACAAAAATGACTACTAACCATTGTCTTATTTTAGTTCTCCACTCATTGAGAATTTTTCTTAAATTGAACAAGTAAATTTTTCGCTCTTCAAAGTTGATTTTCTTTTAAAATTTCTCCGATTTTCGGATAAAATCGAATCAAAAAAATTTAGTTTTCTCAAAAATTAGTCTTAAAGAGAAAAAATTCATCTTGATTCAATCATCTTTTGAGTAGCATAAAGAAAAATTGATGGGTATAGAAAAAATAAAATGGATGCTTTTGGCATTTCTCTGTGGATTGCTAAGCACAAGTGCCAACGATACCCTTCCTACGACTGATAAAAGGATTCTGAATATTGCTATAATTGGAGCTGGGGCATCTGGACTGGCTAGTGCAAAGAATGCTATTGAACAAGGTCACAACGTAGTTATCTTTGAAAAAGGCGAAGCGCTTGGTGGGATATGGTATTACACAGACCAGATAGGAGAAGGTATACACTCTCCGATGTATTCTGATCTTAGGTATTCAATTGCTCTAAATACACACTTGACAAATGCCAAACTTGAAATAATATTGATGTGATAATTTAAAATAGAACGAACACTCCATATAAAAATATGGAATTTCCTGGCCACCACTTTCCAGAAGGCACTGAAATGTTTCCTACGCATGATGTAGTATGGCAGTACTTGGACTCTTATGCCGATGAATTTGGATTAAAAGACCACATAAAATACCATCATTTGGTTGTGCATGTTCAATCAATTGACGGAGATAAATGGCAAATCTTCGTCAATGACATGCAAACTAATTACACAATCATGGAAACGTTTGATGCGGTTTTTGTTTGCACTGGATTCTGTTCTTCTCCACTCTATCCCAATATTCCGGGCGAATTCAAAGGGAAAATATTAATGCACAGTCATGATTATCGAACACCTGACAAATTCGAAGGTATGACATCCACGAATTTTTTTTTATTGTTTGTTTTTTAATCTGTATTTTTATTGGATTCAAATAGGAGAGAAGGTTTTAGGTATGATCTAGTTTCTTTTGTTCATAAAGCTCCTTGATTTATGGAATTTCAAATTATGTTATTTAGTTATCGGCGGCGGTACGAGCGGAACAGATATAGTACATCAAATTCGTGGCATTGCTAAGCGTGTAACGCATAGCTATCATATTCCATCGGAAAAAAGTTCTTTGGCACAAAAAGCATTAGGTTTGAGATCTTTTCATAGTTTTTTTATTTGTTTTGCTCGGGATCTGTAGTTAAAAGTAATCGATCGTTCGAAGCCTGAAACATTTGAATCGTTCCACAATAACGATCCTCTGGTCGGATTCAGGCGATTTTATTCGGCATCAATTGCGTTCAACTAGAAGATCTTTTGTGCTAAGGCGTACTAAATTGACTCGTAATTGAGAAAACCATTTATGCCAAACATTTCGAATTCTACCGAAAGGCGAAGTTACTCATCCAAATAATATATTTATAGATAAAGCACGTGGAATTTTCAGTAAAGGTGACAACGGTATCACTCACAAAGGAGATGTGAAACGTTTCACAAAAAACGGTGCCGAATTTTCGGATGGGACGAAAAAAAACTTCACAGTGGTTATTTTTGCTACAGGTTGTTGTGTTCCACTTTATGGTTAAAAGAAAAATCGAAATCGAATGAAATGATGAATTTCGTTTTCATTTCCAGGTTATAAATATTCATATCCATTTTTGGATGAAAATGTGGGCATTTGTGCTCATGACTTTTACGTGGAACCATTATTCAAAGAAATCTTGAATATTGAACACAATACCATGGCATTCATAGGACTACCGATAACTGTAGCACACAATCCCATGTACGATTTACAGGTGAATACTACCCGTTATGTGAATGAAGAGACACAGTTTAATATAATTGCTTCAAATACAGGCTCGATTTGCGTTGAAGTTCATCTCTGGTGAAAAGCAATTTCCATCACAGACTAAAATGCGACAAGATCTTCAAAAACAAATTAATGCCAATGCCGAATTCCATCTGAAAAAACCGTATATGTTGGGATTAGATTACAAGCGATACTTTCGCGAACTTGCAAAAACTGCAAACATTGAGAACGTTCCGAATATTCGCTCGGGATAATATGCTTACATAACGAAACTACAGGAATAGTATGAGTACCACTTTGTTCCATCGAAACAAGAATTAATTCAAACTTTTTATATGATTCAAACCTTTGAACGAAATAAATGGATCGGATTAAAAATGTATCTTTTTTTATTTTAAGTATTGTAGAATTTTTTTTTATTCAAAATGGATGCAACAGTGATTTCATGAATGAGATTTCAGCTGGGTGTTGCATCATGTGCATGGAGATGGCTTGTCGACAGTATGATGATAGTCGCAGCGGTGGCTTCTCAATTGCAATGACTGGCTTGGTCACTGAAGGATTTTTTGAGTTGCGAATTGAATGAAGCTGCATAATCACACATATGACATTTGTGTTTCTTTTGTTCTTTTGCTTTAGCTGGATCGATTGACGCTTTATGGTTGGCGTTTTTGTTCTTTCCACTTTTCTTTTTTCCACGCTGTTCATCGTTGTCGTTTACATTTCCTCCTGCATTGGCTACATCTATACCGTCGTTATGATTGCTGGAATTATCATTTAAGTGTCCGCCCTGTGCAGCGTCACATTTCTTCATCGAACATTCGTCTTTGTTGCTTTTAATTTCTGTTTTCACACAATCCGGTTCGCTTTTCAAATACAGTTCGTCGTCGGTCTCGCTCTCTGATTTGATTGTGCCACTTGTTTCGATTGGTGATGTTGGTGGCGAGAATTGAACCATATATGTGCCGTCTCCGTCCCTTTGGCTTTCGCTTGCGCTTGTGTCTACCATCCGAGGTACCTTCACCCGGATCTGAATTGGAGACCATGACTACCTTTGCAAAAAACTGTAAGAAAAGTTATGAAATCTTAATTTTAACATTCGTGTGTTTCAAAGAAGTAAAATGTCACATTTTTGTGAACAAGAATGTTCTGGAGAAAACTAGCAAATTCCAAGAAACACCAAACTGTATTGAAATCGAGAAAATCTATTATCTACCGGACAAAACAGATATTTTCAATCCAAAATTGGTTCGATTAACTATGAATTCATATGTAAATGCCAAAAAATAGAATAATTAATATTATTCTAAAAATTGAGAATGAGCGATCAAAATGATTTTATTGAAAAATTCTCAAAGAAAATTGTTAATTTACTTGTTTGGATTGGAACTGATTCCATTATGTCTAATTCTCACTCGAAAATAATGGTTAAAATTCACCTTTAAATTATTCAATATTTTTGGGCGCGAAACGAGTGCAATTATGTGTTACTATGTCCAATGGCCGTCTGTTTCTGTCTGCTATGCTTTTATTGCGCAGTGCTCTCAATGAATAAGTTCAATTTGTGTCAACGAGGATAATGGCAACAACAGCAATGTGTGTGTTGGTACTTTAACGAACCAACAGTGCTTAAATTCAGTGAATTTCAGATTAAACCAACGATTTTCGAGTCTTTAATCATTGTTTGAAATAAGCAATGAGGAACTTTTATTGAATTGAAGTTTTTACCTTTTATTTTAACGTTTTGAATGGAGACAAAGAATGAGGAGTGAAAAAGATGCAAATGAAGAAAACTTTGGATGGGTTTATTCAATGCATTTTATTTGAATTTATGACATTTTTGATTCAATTCAGTTGATGATAATAGTGATTTGGAAATGATCTGTCAATTTATTTTATTGAATAGAGAAAGTACTTTAAATGAGAAGATGTTGAACAAACGATGAATATCTGTTGTTTTAATCCATTGGTGTGGAATGTAGTGATCGGATTAGGGCCGATCTTCACTTGTTTTGACGATGAAAATTCTTTATGTGACGATTAGCATTGCATTGAAGAGAGAATCGGGCATCGCACCATTTGCATGGAAACGGTTTCTCACCGGTATGATGGTTACGCATGTGGCTTTTTAAATTCATTGGACGTTGCATCAAAATTTTGCAGATGTAACATTCATAGTGGCGTCGATTGCAATGCTTTTCATGTGCATTCTTGTCGTCTCCGTTTGCAAATCGACAACAACATTTGGTGCAACGCATTGGACGCGGTTTGGCATGAATCGTCAAATGTTTCTTAAGGTAACTTTTCAAAGCAAACTTCTTGTCACACATTTTGCATTGAAATTGTTTTTCGCCGGTGTGCTTCAATTGCATGTGGTATTTCAAATGACTTTTCTTGAAACATTTATATGGGCAAATATGGCATTCGTATCGTCGACACCAGTGACCGGTTCGCGCATATTTCTATGCCTGATAGCTATGCTAAGCATAGCGGAGACGCAAGCCGCAACGCACCCGTCGCCATTCGATTCGAGCTATATTGTATGCGCACGGTCGTCTGCATAAACGAACATGTGTATTGTTCATATAGAGTGAACGGCGATGCGTCGGTTGCGTTTGCGGCTATGCTTGGCATATCTATGCTACCTAGCGTATTTAGGCAAGCATAGAAATATGCGCGAACCGGTCACTGGTCGACACTTGCATCGATCCTCATGCGATTGTTTGTCGATTTCGACAGCAAATCGGTGTCCACATTTTGAGCAGGCAAACGGTAGTTGTTTGGTGTGAATGCGTAAATGTTGGCAAAAATGATATTTTCGTTTAAATGCTTTTGAACAAACGCGGCATTGGAAAGGCTTCTCGCTACTATGGATTAGCATGTGTTTCTTGAGACTTGACAATTGATCAGTGGTGTATTTGCATACAATACATTGGTATTGTCGATGTTGGCATTGCTTTTCGTGTTCGATCTTTTCGCTTTCTTGTTTGAATCCTCGGCGACACTTTTGACAATGGAATGGAAATTCGGTGGCATGAACTTTCATGTGTCGATTTAAATTACTTTTCTCTGAAGAAGCCTTTGCACATATTTCGCATACGAAAGGCTTTTCGCCGGTGAATTCGGATATGTTTGATGAGACTGATTTTCCACGATGCAGTATAATCACACACGTGACATTTGTGTTTCTTCTCCTTCTTTACAGCTGATTTCTTTGCATCTTTCGATGTATTTTCCTTCTTTGCTCCTCTTCGTTTCTTTCCCTTGGAATTACATCCACTCTGTCCTTCGCCATTCAAAGCGTTTCGTTCTGGATGCAATCGATTTCCATCATTTCGATCATCGCCTTTGCGTTGATTTAAATCATCACCTGATGACGATGAGCAGCAACTTTTCTTCGTACATTCTTCGTCTTCACTCTTGATTTCTTTCTTTGCATAATCAAGATCGTATTTGCTACACACCTCACTGTCGCTCTCGCTCTCCGATTTGATCGTGCGTTGAGTCGCAGCAATCGGTGATGGTGGAGGCGAATAATGAATCAATTCACCGCCGTCTATTGGCTCCTCTTTTATGATAACTTCTTCCTTGATTTCGACCTTTCGAGTGCTTTGTTTGCGCTTGTATCTACGCTTAACCCTTCCATCTAATGTACCTTTGCTTGGGAATGGTTTCATTGTGACTTTTTTCTGGTAACTGAGCAAAGAGAATAAAACAAAAGACAATCCAATTCAAATACTTTGCAGTTTGAAATGTATAAAGTTCTTAATAAAAAAATGTATCTCGTTCTGAATTTATGTTATTCTTTTGAACAGAAATTTAATGTCAGAAATATGTGACACCGTAATTGTCACGATAAAAGTAAAATACTTCCTCCGATCTGGCGGAATGTACTGAAACTAATCGAACGTGGCTCGTGCAGTATGCAAATGACGTCATCGAATTTTCCAGAACGAAAATTGATCGGAGCAGAAATGTTGTGCACAAGATCTGAATTAATTTTGATTGGATAAATGCAAAGAAGAAGAAAATCAACTGAATCACTATGTTTCATAAGGAATGAATTGCACAAAAACATTACATAACCTTCACTTTATCTTGCAATGCTGCGCTACTAGGCCTCTACACCAACAAATAATTCTAACTATTTTCCTATTTCAATTGATATTAATTCCTCAAATTCTCTTTATCTCGAGAAAATTTGAGGCAATGATTATAAAAATTTAAAGCTCTTACCTTTGAATTATTGAATTTATTTGTGTACAAATCGTGATCAATTCCTTCGTCAGTATGATACACGTGTTGTTCCAATGATTGCAGGCTTGTGACTTGTGTGCCGTTAGTGTGCGCAATAAATTGGCACTATGCAAAATGACGCAAACTAATTTGCTTCGTTGATGTTGGCAATTCCAGTGGTTCGAAGTGAAGGTGGTCGTCATTAAATTCAATGAATTTCAAACATGAAAATCTATTTAGATATAAAATTGATCAGAATCACAATTTAAATAACGAGAAAAGCGATTAATTAAGAATGATTTATTACTTTTCCGCACACACCTAGTGTGTAAGGTAAAGTATTGGAATCGGTCGAAAAATTAACACAGAGTTCATTAAAAAAGGCATTTCGTTGATTTAAAAAAACATTGTTTTTTTATTTTCATAATTTTCGAGGTACATTTTCAAAGAAGATTTAAATATGTACACACTCTTTGAAAATTACCAAACCACTGCAACTTATATTTTGAATGGGAGCACGATTTAGTATTTTTCAAAGATGTATGTGCGAGTGTGTGTGTGTACAAAAGTTTGCATTCAAGAAGCACAACGTGAATTTATCACAGCTTTCATTTTGCACAAATTTACATGCATGTCGATGGCAACCTTCTCAATCATTTCTTTCGTAGCCGCGTTAGTTTCTCTGAATAACATAAAAATTTGATTTAAAAAATGACTTAAGGAAGATAAAGATATGGCACATTTCATACTTGTTTTTGTAAAGTTTCCTTAATTGTTCTCCATTTTCCATGATATTGACTTTGTAGACGCTAATTAAGACGGAGTTTATTATCAAATTTTATTTCAAAAAATTAGTTAAAAAAAACTTACTAAGTGAATCGATTAGTTTTGCAACCATTTTGAGGTTTGCCATTATGAATTTCGTCAAAGTTTTTGAATGTCGCCGTTGCTCTTTTTATTATTCCTTCCAGTGCTCTATTGCAGAATTATTTAAGAGAATATTATTATTTAATTCTTTTTCGTGCAAAATCGAACAGTTGAAAATACTCACGGATCTGACAAATAATTTGTTTGACTATTCTTAACTCGATTAACCATTTCAATGTAATCGACGATTTTTCCAGTGCAGCTAAAATCAATTGCATTGTTTATACAGAACTTTTTGAAAGATTTATTTTACATACTGTTTTATCCAATTAGCGCCATCAATTTCGGTTGCAGCCTCACAAATGTTTATATCTGGAGCCGGTGTCTCTATCGAACGGAGTCTTTCACTCACAGATACCATAAGGGATGGCAATAACTCTAATGGATTCGAACAGCAACCTGAGAACAACAATTATAATGTCCTAAATAAATATAAATGTAAAATTGGCATCCAGCAATGCGTAAAACATGCGCAATAGAAATACCAGCTGACGATTACACGTAGAATATTTAATAAAATTAAGATAAAACTTTTTACGTAATCACGTTGAACTGTATGCAAGCAACAAGGAAAAAAGACAGACATTTCGTCACGTGATATTTCTAAGCCGCCTGTTTTCTTGAGTCATACATCTACTGAATACTGAAATTAATGTCTTATTTTAAAATTAAAAATCGATTTTTTACATGAAGCTTTTTTACTGCTTGAGGCCCCCATACTCACGGCTGAAATCTATTTCAAATTAAACAAAGCAGAAAAAAATTAATTTTTTTTTCAAGAACACGAATGCATTACATTCAGTCGACTTTTTTGCAAATCAATTTTGAGAGCAGCTTTTTTAAAGAAAATAATTACAACCATTATTTGACTGATTCATGCTTGGTAAAATAATAATTTTAAAATAAAAGTAAATTTTGTTTGAAAGATTGTAGCGGATATCAAGTGATTTTTAACTTACTATAGCAATTGCTATAATTCCCAAGCAAATGAACACTTTCATTTTTTTAATACGTTTTTGTAAATATGTAAAATGTATTGGAACCAACTCGATTTACCGACTGAACTTAATTGCGTCAGATCTCTTAATTTATAGCAAAGTGACACAGTACACAAATCATCATCATCATTTTAATTACATAATTTGAATATTTATCTACACGTGTCCCGTGTGTAAATAAAGAGGCTTACGTTCGCAAGCTGACTTCTCCGCGTGGCACCTGAAAAGTTGTGAATATTATTTTCTCATCAATATAAATAATCTCACCAAGTTTAAAGAAATTTTAGTCAAAAATATAGTTAAACCCATACAAAATTTTCGATTTTTGGTCGAAAATGAAAATTTTGTATGGAAGGTATCCCTAAATTGTATTGAAATTATTTCAATCTCTCAGAATGTTATTTTATTGTGAAAAAATAACCTCTGCAAAGTTTCACGTCGTTAAGATATCATATAGGCATTGATTCCATACAAAAATGCCCATTTTTAGTAATTTTATTATGAAGAGTGTGTCGAAAATTATTTGTATCACAAAACTAATGTCAGATTCAGTTTTCTCGTGAATTCAAATTTGAGTAAAAGATATGTAATTAATCCATGTTGTGGATCACAGTGCGGAAAAGTTCATCTTATGGATGTAAGACATTTTATTTTATGTTTTATTAAAGTCAACTTTGCATTCAGACCAACGTCCCAAAATAGCTGTGACTGTGATGATTTGAAAATTTGTATGAAAACCAACCACTTACACTGATTGTAAGTGATTTTTTGCACACGGGTATTATTGGAACCATGCATTTAAAAAAACGTTTGTAGTGGTACAAATTCCGGTGAAGTGGAATGCCTTAGAAGAATTTTGAACTAAAAAAATAATTTTAATATTTCTTCAAAGAAATAAATAATGTGCAATTGCATCTTGTGAAGATATTATGGATGAAATATAGTCAAATACGGTTTGTTTGGTTTATAAAATGTTTTATTATTTGGTATTTGTAATACAATTGTCTAAGTGTTTTAAATGCTTAGTCGTACATTTTAAATTGTTAAAAATAATTTGTCATTAACGCTTCAACGTGACAAGATGATCTTTATTTCTAGACACCTCCCATGAAAAATCCAATTCTTCACATAGCCACGTGTATTGTGTATTACGCGAAAGTGGGAATGAAAACTTTTTCAACGACTTGACACTATCGAATAGTATGATTGGTTCTTCGTCTGTGAATATAAACCCATTGAGATGTAGTTCCTTGAGCGATGGCAAAGCAGCTGCAATTTCATGTGGCACCACTGGATTATTGTAGAGCGTTCGATCACAATACCATTTTGTTTGAAGTTTTGTGATGCGTGGATTTTTGTGAAAAATCTTAATGAAATCGCTGAACGAAAGCTTTTCATCCGAAGCAACGCGAATGTTCAAGCTGCGAAGTTGCGGATTCAAACGCAATGCTTTTTCAACATTTTCTTTGTTGATATCGGTTTTTTGATTGCCATTATTGATTTCAGTGGCCAGATACGTCAAAGAAGGGAATGATACCTCGATGCAAGTGGGATCGAGATGATTACAGAACAGCTCGAGGTGACACAACCGTGGAAACCATTTTTTGAATTGTTTGAATTTTTTACTCAAACGGCACTCATCGAGACAAAGTGTGTGCATGGCTGCAGAAGAAAAGTAAAATCAATATTTTTGAATGGCTTTATTGAATAACTTTATCTCACCTGAAAATGGCACCTTCAAATGTTCAAATAGATTTGATGACCGGTCAAAAACGGTAAGTTCCACCAAAGATGCGATGCAATAATCATAGATGTATTGATCAACAATCGAATGATGTTGAACGGTTGAATGGGCGAATGACAGCGTCAATTTGGTAATGGCATGGTTGAAACAGCGTAAAAACTGCAAGCACGCCTTCAATCCGCTCACATTGACAGTGTTTTTTCGATGAATATATATTTCAGGTGATTTCGGATAAATATCCATAAGAGTGACTGTTTTATTG